CGGTACAGGGCTGACAGCGGCGGCGGAGGCGGACGCGCGTTGGGGGGCCGAGCTCCTGGCCGAGGCGGCCCGGGAATGGCGCGGGGAGCGGGCGCTGGGGGCCGACGGCCAGCTAGCGCGCGCGTGCGCCGCGCTGACCGCGGTCGGGCGGCTCGAGGCCGTCGTGGACGTGTGCATGACGTGCGCCAAGAACTTCGGGGAGGGGGTGGTGGCGTCCGGCGGTGGAGGACATGGGGGGGGCGGCGGCGTTGAGGCGTGGGAGGAAGGCGTTTATCAGGGCGGGGGCATTGTCGGTGCGGAGCAGAGGGAGAAGGCGAGGCTGGAGTGCTATAAGAGGGTGCTCGAGGCTGTGGTTGGCCTGCTGAAGCAGGAGCAGCAGCAGCTGCGGTCGGCGACGGCGGCGGCGGGGCAAGGTGGAGTGCGCGGTTCGAAGAAGGTCGACAGCCTCATCGCGCGGTGCCTGTCGTACAAGGCTCCGCTGCTAGAGGAGATGCTGTTCGGGGTGTTGGAGGTACGTACGTGTTGTAGAGCAGTGTCGTCTCGTCTGTCCGGGGCGTGCTTGATGTTTCGTTCCGGGGACCATCAGTGTCGTCCACTTCCAAACCTTCGTCTTGTGTGTTCAAGAGAAGGATGCGGTGCGCAGCTACCTCTCTGAAGGCAGCGAAGGAGGCATTGGCAACGTGGGAGCGCCTTCGTTTGGCGAGGCCTAAAGTAATACCTCGGTCGTAGGGCGAGGGGCGCGCGGCCACGCCCTTAGTAGTTAACCGTCGCTCTCAACGTCATTCCCGTTAGAGTTCTCCTGAATTTGTAGCGGCGCACTTCTGTGTTACATGTACAGCGTATCCACTGCTGTGCTCTACGTCAGCGGAGTCAGCGCTGACTTGTGGCAGATTTGCCGTACATCTAACACAGCAGTGCTGGGATTGTAGGTTCGATGTGTGCTTCGGCGGCAGTCATATCTTGCATTTCTACATCGGTCGGGGCGATCGCTTCCCCGCAGGGTTCTCCGGCACACCACCAGCCTTCCGACGCGTGTCCAATCCGCGAATACCACGACAGGTGATCCCCTCCCTGCCCTGCTCCGTCCTCTCGAGGATGCGTGGTCAATGGTCTAACAGCTAAGACATGCAAAACGTGATAACCGCCCCCACCCTTGCCCCCCACCATCCGGGTTTCCGTCGCTTGGCAACGACGTTGTAAAACATGCCGCCCCCCCCGGTGTTTGGTCACGTGGTTGGGTTTTCGTCGCTTGACAGCGATGTTGTAAAACAAGCCGATCACTTCGTGAGCTCGGCAACCAGGTTACCGCTTCTTTTTTTACCTCTGTTTTTTTTGGGGGGCGGTAACGATGAATGGTGGTCGAGTTGATCATGTTGTGCGGGGTCGAGAACCGTCACTCCGCGCAAGGGGGATGATCGCACCACGTTGTGTTAAAATGGCCAAGCACCCTCGAGGCAGTTACACAGTGCTTACAACTGTCTCTGGAAGGGAAAGCACCAGAAAATATATTAATTCATACGCAGCTGTCATCCGCACGCAAGGAAGTATGCACAAGATGCCGAACACCCTTAGCAGGATGCAACTCGCCGAATAACTCACGGTGCTTCGCGCTTGGTGATGTGAGAGCCTGGCCCGGTGCGAACCCGGCGTGCTCCGTCCCGGCTTTGTAGGGATGCGAGGTCAACGGTCTAACGACTACGGCATGCACGACTATGAGTACACCCACCCTCCCCCACTCCCACTCCCACGTACGTCATTGGTTTTGCTGGGCCCCAGGAGCACGACAAGAAGCTGCTGATGAGCATCAGGACCCCGGGCGTGGAGCGGTACTTAAAGAGAGACCCCGAGGACCTGTTCAGGCACTACATGCTCAGCAAGGAGTATCCCAAGGTGCGCGCTCTCTATTCGGGCATGCTGTGTACGTGTGTGTTGCGTTGTTGTCGTCGCTGCTGCTGCTGCTGCTGCTGTTGCTGCTGTTGCTGCTGTTGCTACTGCTGTTTAGTACTAGTACTGCTGTAGTTGGTGTTGTTGTGATGGTCGTGGTTATGCAACCTGTTGCTGCTGCACTTGTTGACACAGCGGTGAGAAATCGACGCCATGCTTCTCTGTTCATTTTGGCGGCGTGTTTCGACTGAAGGAGAGCTCCAGCAGCAGTAAAAATCGAAACTGCCTCTATGGGCTGTTGGTGTTGTTACCAATCACATGGTTTGGGTGCGGTTTTCTCTTCCCCTCTCTGATGTAAGGCCGCACCCTCTCCTCCAAACCTTTCGCGAAACGATCTGGGAAGTACATCCCTCTCCCCCAAAGCCATTCGCTCAACGAGCTGGGGATGTTCCTCCCGTGCCTCCCTCTTGTCTTTCTCCTTCTCTCAAAGGCGGTCTATCTGATGGATTGCCACCGAGTTCTTCATTGCATAGTGCCAACCGGCTTCTTTGCCAAAGCCCTTGGAGAAGGGCGTCCCTCTCCTTCAAGCCCTTTTGCTTAAAACCATCTGCGATGTACGCGCCTCTCGTGTCCTCCTTTCTTCCTCCTCCTTTTGTCACAGGCGGTCCATCTGATGGATCACCGTCTAGTCCTTCGTTTTTGTATTGTTCCATCCGGCTTCTGTGTCAAAGGCCTTTCGCTCACGATTTAAGACGTACGCGCCTCTCTTGTCCTCCGTTCTTGCTTCTTGTTCTGTCAAAGGCGGTCCATCTGATGGACTGCGAGGCCCGCGTTGAGGCCAGGAGCGGCGTGCACGTGAGGCACCGCGTGGAATGCCTGCTCAAGGCCATCTCGGCTTGCCACAAGTGCGACCTCGACTCTGCCCAGGTGTGTACAGCTGGCAGGTGGAAAATAGGCAGACTTACAGCGAGACGGATGGTGCAGTCCGTCCGCTTGTCCCCCGTGTTTCGACAATGATGGTGACCCCCCATACCACGCCATGACCCCCCGCTGGCCTCCTTGCCACATCTGCAACATCGCTGATTACCCCGCCTGTGTATCATGCCCCCTGCGCCTAATCCCCATGTTTCGAGAAAGAGGAATATGGTGCCCCCCCCCCCCCCCCACCCCACCACGCCCCCCCCGGCCACCCCCCGAACCCCCCTGCCCCACACCAAGCCCCCACCCGCGCAACAAGACCCCCCCCCCCACCCCCCCGGGGACCGCGAGACAAAGGGGGCGGGCCCCCCGGCACCCCCAGACCCCCCCCCCCCGGGCCCAACCGGGCCCCGGACAACAACGAACACCCC